ATATGATCCTTGAACTTAACAAGGTTTCTGAGATGATAACAGTTCAGTGGTCTAGAGATTAATTTGTTCGTATGGGAGACCGATAGGTCTTGGGTTTGAATCTCAAGAAGTGGGATCGTAGATGAGCACTACTGAGGAGTTCCATACTAGGACGAAATGGCCTTCCAGTGCTTTCAGGTTTTCTATGGTGGTCTAACTTAAATTGACTCATGAATTCAACTTATTAAATAAATAAATGTGACTGTAAGGTAAAATTGTTAACTATACTTAGTGATAAGAACAACTTCATGGCAGATATTCCATACAAAAGATACATTTGAACAAGTTGATCTTCTTGATGACTGTTAGGTCTTGATAAGCATAACGAATGGTAACTTTTGGGATCCATACCTGGACCAATACTATGCGTATATTTTTATCGTATATTTGTTAAACAACTAAACTATTCATATTCATATTCCTCTTATTATAAGCTTCATTTTGACCTATGAACTATCATTATACGATTTATCATTCTTGAATTATGCCCTGTCTATTAGTCATTACCTCCCACATTCACATCCGCATTTGGCCAAACCTTATATAAATGTTGCTTCCTATTTTATTAGTACGATGTAGTTTCTCTGATTAGTATATAAACCGTTTATGTTTGAAATACATGATTGATATTACAGAGGCTGAGATTGGTGTTCTGAACTGAACAGTCAGGTCTATACTGGAAGAAGGACCAATAAATACTCTAGACTGCTCGCATGGATTTTACGCGTTATTGATTCGATCGACAAATCACTGCTCCCTAATTGGCGGTATCATTACTTATCCATTAACAGGGCACTCAGGCCACAAGTTATAACAATGACATTAATATTATGGAAACGACTATACACCTGGACAATGCACATATACATAGAGAGGAATAATCGAACAAGGGTTATGGACCATATCCTCAGATGGGTTCAAAATCAGTTCAAGTCAAATGTTTCAATCAACGTGTAAAGTAAAAGAACTATTATTATTATTATTATTATTATTATTATTATTATTATTATTCTGTACTGAATTATCACTTCCTCTTATGATTGTCTAACTCTTCATTTTGACTGGTTCTGGTCACTAACTTTAGTTGCTATCGAAACAGTGATATAACTTTCTATTTAAAAAAAAAATAGTTGCGTAGTAAGCAGAAATCTGTTATTTAACCTACACATACACACACACACATACGTAGGTTGTTTATTGGTAAATAAATGTAGTAACATATATTAATATATATATGTATATAAACCTATATGCTTTATAAAAACGGTAGAATTGTTTCACTAGAAACAATAAGTAACTGTGAATAGCTAACATTTTTCTGTAAATATTTACACATTTCAACAGTTCCAAGTAAGTTCTTTATGATTATTATTATTATCCATTCGATGATTATTAGTGATTCTGTAGTTGAATTCATGAGTTCATTAAAGCTAGACCACTATGGAAAATCTAGAAGCATTGGATACCCCTTTTGTTTTAGTATGGAATTCCTCAGCAGTGCGCATCTACGATCGCGGGACCTATTGATTTCGCACACGAACGCACGCTTAACTTGTTGATCATTGGACTGGACGGTATCCAACGGTATTAGTATCTAATTCATGAATTCAACTATAAAATCAATAAAATCTCCACAAAATCCCTCGTTCTGATTATTAATGTTTAAATATTTCGCCAATACACTTTATGTTATATTTTGTATCTTAGTCTATGTTATATGAAATTGCTCTCTTATACAAATTTGGTGTGTTCAAGAATACAGTAATTTATTCTGAATCTAAGTATTTATTATATCATTTTCATCCACGATTCCCAATGTATAGTAATTTAACACCAGAGATAGTCTTTCAGTATCTTTCAGATTTTCAATGATTGTCTAACTTTGAGGTCTGCGCTGACTATCGTAACCAATGGTTGAAGACTCTGGGTGATATGACTCACAGCCGATCACAATGGTGTAGGTGTATACACTCTTTGTCTTCTCTTAAACTATGAGATTAGAATTACTTTATACCTTACCTTCTACCAACTCTTTCTTCCTGTATTATATCCTTATACACAATCCTTCTTTTATATATTACTACCATTGAAGTGATTACTTCTATGAATTTGTGTTCATCTTGTTGTGGTATTGAGATATGGGAACTTGGACAAATGCATATACGTAATTGACTGACTGACTAACTTTAAATGAGTTTGTGATGTCAAATCTTACAGTCGGGATTGTGGATTCCCATTTATGAGGAGTCTCACACTGAGACGAAACGGCCGTTCAGTAATTTCACGTTTTCCATGGTGCTCTAGCTTTAATTGACTCATCATCTCTACAAAACTCACTTTCAAATCATTAACAGAAAATGTTCTTGCATATGAATATAGTTATGTTTGTATGATTTAAACAATTTGGAGAAATTTAAATGTAACTGAATTTCACTGACGATTAGTTTAAACGTTTTCATGTATTGAAACATTTCAAATAGATATTCTTATTAATGGAATAACATATGAAGTCTACTAAGGATGATATAGTACATATCTTGACGGATACAATCTATTATTCTTAAATATGACTGAAAATAATTTCAGTTACTAAGTACTACTAATTTATGAACGAATCAATCAAATATAGAAAAAAACTGGATCTTAGATTTTGGCGCAAAATTCCCTCATCCATTTGGACATTTTAGTTGATATTACGTTTATGATAGAAATTGTAAATCTAGTTCCTAATCTTAATCATCAATTGTAAATCATAATTTTCATTCTTTATAATCCTCATTTAACTCTAATGAGTAGGTGGACAATTGCAAGGTCACTTTAGTATCGTTTAAAGGTCATTCATAAATTATAGTCTCACTGTTTAAATTTCACAAAAAAAATTTGGGGGCACTATAATTAGTTATATAGATTAATAGATGAAGTGTCGTCTACTTAAATCAACAATCCTTTTTAATTAAAACATAATAGATAGTAATGTATACTTTCTTTGTTAATAATACAATAAAACGTGAGCAATAATAATCGAAGCACTGGTGTTTAAACAGGTCTGCTTTGAGATAGTAACTCACTAAAGACAATGGTGGATGTGTCGCTCAATTTCGTGGATTAGTTAAAGTTAGACATTAACACCGTTGGATACCGGTCAACAGATTAAGCATTCACATGCGAGACCGATAGGTCCCACGTTCCAGTCTCGAGAGGTGGGATCGTAGATGCGCATTGCTGAGGAGTCCCGCGATAGGATGGAATGGTCGTCCAGGAGTATGGTTATAATTATGAAAGATAATTGTCCATTTAAGGTTAATAATAATTGATTACAGTTTAAAATTACGGAAAACTAACTTTAAAAATCAAATAATAATAATTACAGACCACAAACATACGAAAAAAGTGAATTAGAGGCAAGGCAAGATGAGAGATTGAATGTCTCGTTTATGCATTCAAAAGGAGTTCAGGCTTCAGTTGGTAGACTGCTAATACCTTAGCAGTATATAAGTTTTTAATTTGACCTCCCTTTGATTCAATTTCTTTAATTGTGTAGATTATTTTAAAAGAACACTTTGTCAGAGTGATGTGTCCATAGTTGATTAAATGCTCCTGTATTAAACTAGTAATTGTTTTACATTTTTCTTTTAAAAGCCATGTCAGATAATAATTTAAGATACATTTAGAAAGTGATCGTTTTGTACAGTCAATATCTTACATAATTCTGATCCGTAAATTATTCTCATTCTTATATTCTTCTATTACCCCTTGATTATTACCTAACCTCATTTGATAATAAAAATCTCGAATGATTTTGGCGGTCTACTTGAATATTTGTGCTACATGTTTCTGTCATCTACATATTTCAAGAAGTTATCTGTTCTGTTCTGTTCTGTTCTGTTCTGTTTGTTTGTTTGTTTTAACATATCATTATGCCTATTAGTCTTATAACCTATTCAGGTCTGTTTAATGAAAAGTTAACATTCCACTGTATAAGTTATAAAACAGACGCATCAAATACATCATGGTTACTGGCAAGATACATCGTAAAGAATATACATTATTCAAATATCGATTCATGAACCGTTAACATCTAAACTGTTGATCAATAAATATTTATCGTTTAGGATCAATCAAGAACTAAGAAAAAGGAAGCCGTAAATATGATGAATTTTTTGTGGGGCCCGTTATTCTGTTGTCGTTTAGATCGGACGATGTTGTCGAAGGGCTCTCCACTTTAGTGGCCGGAGATCTGACTCCAAATAGATCGTATGAATGATTGTTGTGAAAATATATATGCGCTTTATCCTCGTATATAATCATTGACTTAAATAGCGTTAGTTAATGACGGAATTAAATAAGTCAAATAATGAGAATGGACCTTTTGGATACATATATTTTGTATAATCGTTGATCAGACAAACGAACGGGGAAACGATGCGAAGAGAAGAAAGCGAAGCAAAAATGATGCGCGGTGGAGATGACCGGTAAGCCAACTCCCATTTAACCAAGCGTTAATCAATATTTATAAGCACACAAAATAAGTTACAGGCATGTGATGAATGGGACATGAAATGTACACACACATATGTATTCATATAAAATCAGTCAAGATTGATAAGCGAATAATTAACAAGATCAGAATGTGACTCAAGTAGAATGATGAATAGGTTGAGCTGCACGAAAGTTAGAATAAGGTATATGAGCTTAACATAATGAAAGACACTACAAATTCGTTGAAGGGAAAATTTTTTCTTTTTTGAATTCTCTTTATTTTTAAAAATTTTATTTTGTTTATTCCAAGATACCGAATCTCTCAATTTTTGGGAGAAATTTGACCCATTTTTTTTGGGGGGGGGGAATTTTACGGAAATAGCACCAAAATCCCAAAATCCCCCCCCCCGAAAAAATTGTATACAATGAGTTCATTTTAATTATATTATATAATTCTAATGATTATATTTACTTTCATAGAAATGAAACTATTCATTATAATGAATATTTTATCAGTAGTATATAGTGCTCAAATATTGTCAAATCGATCTCCATATATTGATAAATCTGGATATCAACAATCATCTAATCAACTTAATGGAATTCTAAAAACTAGTAAGTTATTATTGTTTTGTTTAATCATCATAATAACTTATATAATACCATAGAATGTATTATTTCAATGATAAATTAGTATTATAGTCAAATAGAACACCGTATAAGGATAATCAAATGTATTTGAATATAAAATGATATAATCTTTTAGTAAAATCTAAAAATCATACATCTAGTTGATGAGTCCCAAATAAGACGAAACAATCATTTTGGATTCCGATACTGGTTACTATTCATCTTTGATTATTAAACTTATGACTTAAGGCAATATCAAGACAAACAACAAAAAATATACATATGCCAATAACAGATCGATCAATTACAATCCTAAATAACATTGGAAAGGTAAAAGTAAATAACACCAAGTGATTGTATACAGTAAATATTTCATTAATAAAATATCAATCAATTTTTTCAGACTTTATTGTTCTTTTTTATTTTAAACACTAATTATTCTTAGTTCTAGTTCTTTTTTCTTTGATCATTCTAACCTATTATCGTCAGATATTTCACTTTCGATTGATGATATATACTACTTATATTTGTCGATATCAGTAATACATACGGCGGCCTGCTTGAATATCTGGGCTACCTGTTCCTCCCATCTAGATATTTCGTCAAGTTATCTATTTTCTTATTTGTTTTAACACATTATTATGTCTATTGAGCTCACAACCTATTCAGGCGGGTTTATGAAAAGTTTACAATCTTTCGCTGTACGGATTACAAAAAGGTATAACCAACGACATCATGATGGTTTGCAATATGTATTGAAACGAATGAACATTATTCAAATGTCAATCATCGAACTCCTAACATCTAACTGGTCATTACTCAATATTTATCGTCAGGATCGATCAAGATATAAGAAAAGGAAACTTGTTGAAATACTTTATGCTGAGAATTCAATAGTGTTTAGTAGGATTAATCTGAACATTTAAATTATTAAGTATTATCAGATTAAAATGATACTGAAAGTTCAAATCATTTGGTACTGACATTAATTGTTTGAATCTAATACCTAAAATTCTATAAAATAAACATACTTACTTACTTACTTACGCCTGTTACTCCTCGTGAAGGAGCATAGGCCGCTCACCAGCATTCTCCATCCAACTCTGTCCTGGGCAATCCTTTCAAGCTCTTTCCAGTTCTTATTCATCTTTTTCATATCTGCTTCTATTTCCCGACGTAATGTGTTCTTTGACCTTCCTCTCTTTCGCTTCCCTTCAGGATTCCAAGTTAGCGCTTGTCTCGTAATGCAGTTTGATGATTTCCTCAATGTATGTCCTATCCATTTCCATCGTCTTTTCCTAATTTCCTCTTCAGCTGGAAGCTGGTTGGTTCTCTCCCACAAAAGACTGTTGCTGATGGTAACATAGAAAAGTATATATATTCTGATAAGTTTGCTTATAAAACAAAATCCAGACAAAATCTACACAACAGAATAAGGCATAGATTGTAATATGAAATCTTCACTTTAAGCTCTAAAGACGTACAGAAAAACGAGATTAGTTAGATATTTACATTCAGTCTTCAGTTACTGAAAATTTCTTTAACTTTAATAAATATAGTAGCCAAACAAAGCTTATTTAATTTCTGTGAGGGCTGTGATACTACCCGGGTGCCCATACCGAAGCAGGTGGTTTTCTTAGAATGCCACATCCGGAGACTTTAACCTGAATGTCTGATCCACAAAGCAATGGAGTAACGCTAGGAGATCCAGCCCCATGGTTCATACGCCATTTGTTCGTCCAGGATCCTGGAGCCTATGTGCACCCTTGGTTTGGAATGATAGTTTTCCAACTCCCCTAGGTAGATGTTTCATATCCACCAACCCGGTTAAAACGTCTTACATTCACTTTTTGTTCTTTCAACATCGTAAACAACACTCCCGATATAAAGATAGATATCTTACTCAAATGCCGTATGCATTGCTTATTTCAGTCATATGACACAAAAAAAGAACTTGAGAGATAAATTTAAAGAAAGTTTGTTTTAAAAAAAATGCTAGAAAACACAACTATTCTCAAGAATCTAGTATGACCAATCAGATGAGATATATGATTTGTTCATAGTAATCTCGTTTCATAATGAGAATTGAATCGATCAGCTGATTGATTTATTTGAATGTTATGAAGTCACTAATATGTTTTGAATTATATATAACAGACCAAAACTTTATATATTCCCTATATCACCTTATCTATTTAAGATACAAGCACATTCAGCTAACGAGTTCCAAATAGGACGAAACACGCGTCATCAAACTATCCATCTTTATTTATAAAGCTTGTGATCTAACATCATCACAAAACAGTCCACACAGAATGCATATATACCAATAAGAAACTGATCAATTGAAGTACTAAATTACAATGAAAAGACGCAAGTAAACAACACCAAGTGTATTTAAACTTCACCTCATTGCACAAGCAGGTGGCTAACAGAACTCAGTAGTTAAGCGGATAACGCAATGGCGTTTAAAGCGAAAGGTACTCGGTTCTAGTCCCAGAGTAAGCATTAATTCTGAGATGCAGGTACATCCAGATGATAAGTTTCAAATAGGACGACACGTATGTTCTTAATTCCACTGCTAGCCACTTTCCATCTTTGTTTATAAAACTTGTGACCTAACACCATATCAAGGCAATCCATACAGGATGCACATATTCTAACAGAAGACTGATCAATTGCAGTTCTAAACAACAATGAGAAGATACAAGTGAAACAACACCAAGTGTATTTATATAACAGAATGTTGTAAATAAAACATTCCATAAGTAGACTGAATGAAACAGAAAAGCAATGGATTTCAGCGCAGATCAAACCCACGAAAATGATAATATAAATAAACTGTATACTTTTTAATGTTGAACTAAATAGTAATATTTCAGCAGTTGAATTCATAAGTCAATCTAAACTAAACTATCACTGAGAACCTGGAAGCACTGAGCGATCATTTCATTGTAGTATGAAACTTCTCAGCAGTGCACATCCGCAATCTCACATGTGGGACTCGAATCCAGGAGCTATCGGTCTCGTGCGCGAACGCTTAACTTGTCGACCACTGAGCTTGCCGGCATCCAACAGTATTATTGTATAATTTCAATCGATCCATGATTTTTCGCCATCCATGAATTCAACTATTCAAATCAATACAATCTTTCTAAAACCCTCATTCTGATAAACAGTAATACACAAACATCAGTATACTTGTTATGTCTCAATAAGATCAGTGAATGGTAACTTTTGGGATCCATACCTGGACCAATACTATGCGTATATTTTTATCGTATATTTGTTAAACAACTAAACTATTCATATTCATATTCCTCTTATGATGAGCTTTATTTTGACCTATGAACTATCATTATACGATTTATCATTCTTGAATTATGCCCTGTCTATTAGTCATTACCTCCCACATTCACATTCGCATTTGGCCAAACCTTGTATAAATGTTGCTTCCTATTTTATTAGTACGATGTAGTTTCTCTGATTAGTATATAAACCGTTTATGTTTGAAATACATGATTGATATTTCAGAGACTGAGATTGATGTTCTAAACTGAACAGTCAGGGCTATACTGGAAGAAGGACCAATAAGTACTCTAGACTGCTCGCATGGATTTAAGGCGTCATTGGTCGGATCGATAATTCACTGCTTTTTAATTGACGGTATCATTACATGATACATGAACAGGGTACACAGGCCACAAATTATAACAATAATCTACAGTATCAGAATAATAAATACTACTGTTTCAAGGAGCAACTACACATAATCGATATTCTACAATTGATTGTCTTTCTCATAAGATTAATCATGTGTTATATTTAAACCGGTATTCTAATTTATTTTTTACAATTTTTTTTTTCTTTCAGAAGTGGATGTTGTAATTAATGATGCTTTATTGGGAGATCGAGAAAAAAATCAACTGATCAAATGGAATCCTAGTTATGGAAATTCTCAATCAGAAATATACAAACATCTATCTTCTTCTATTTGTTACCTAGTAATGTTCATTTTTATTATTTATCATGTATAATTAATATTCATGCAAAGAATAGGGATATATGTCAATAAAAGACTGATCAATTGTATTCCTAAAAATCAATGGGAAGAGTCAAGTAAACAACACCAAGTGAAATTTAAATTTACCCCATTTCACAAGCAAGTGGCTATCAGGACTCAGTAGTATCTAAGTGGATAATGCAATGACATTTGAAGTGAACGTTATTAGATTCGAGTCTTAGAGTGAACATCAACTCTGGATGCGGGTACATCCAACTGACGAGTCCCGAATAGGAAGAAACGTGCGTCCTGGATTCCATTGCTAGCCACTATCCATCTTTGCTTAAAACGATTGTGACTTAAGGTAATATCGAGGCAATCTGAACAGAACGCACATATACTAATAAGAGACTGATCAATTGCAGTCCTCAAAAATAATGGGAAGATACAACCAAATAATACCAAGAGAAACTGAAATAACATTCATAAAAATCATAAGATTACGTAATAAGAAGTGTTCAGATAATTGAACAATGTAACGTATATTCGTGAGAAAGAAGTGTGGGAGGGGGTGATGAAAAATAAGCAATAATAAGTAAAATCATTTATTAAGTTCAAGGAAGAGATAAAGTTGTTACAAATTCCTTATGAACACAAAGATTTAGATTGTTAGCTCGAATCCCAACATCTTTCGATATATGTAAGAGACGGAATCGAACCCCACAAGGAAAACTAGTAGGAATACGACAAATCACTTTAAATGACTTATTTATCTCTACTACATGACCTCTATTGATCAAGTGTCATAGAACAAAACTGTGTATTATTACGACGGTACCCTTTCTTAACCACGAACGGTGATGTTCACTAACATGTTATTATTTTTCGAGAACAATATGGTAAACTTGAATTTTTATATCAAACTCTAATAAATATTATACATTTGAAATATATCAGTGTTATTATTTAGATTCAAGAAATGGTTAAACTGGTTATTCCTCCAGGATCCGATGGTGGAATATGTGGAAAAGTTATACTTTTTAATGCAAATATTGCTATTCCAGGAGGTGGTGTGATTGGCGGAGTGAAAGCTGCACTAACTGTGAATTTTTCATATCCTAATGCACAAAATTTAAATATCGATTCAATCATTGATCATTTAAAATCTGATTATAGTCGTAATAACAAAATATCATTCATTAGGATTATCCAACTTAAAGTGAAAGGTAAGAATTCACCAATTGGAATTTCTATTCCATCCAACTAATATCATTATTCTTCATTTGAAGCTTATGTACATCAAACCTATGTTGATAATTTAATAGTTGGATTCATTAGTCAATTTAAAGTAGTCCACCATGGAAAACCTGCGAGCACTGGACAGCCGTTTCGTCCAAGTATGGGACTCCTCAGTAGTGCACACCGATGATCCCGCCTCGCGAGATTCGAACCCAGCATCTATCGGTCTCGCGCGTGAACCCTTAACCTGTTGACCACTGGGCTGGCCAACATCCAACGGTGTTAATGTCCAACTTTAACCAATCCACGAAGTTGCACCACTGTCACCGTCCATCTAGCTTCAATTGACTCATGAATTCAACTATTATATTACTATAATATCCACAAAACCCCTTTCTGATTATACTCTATTGATCAGTTGATACCTAGACCTATTTTCAAGCAAGAAAACAAGAAAGACATCAGTTAACTTTCTGTTATTATCAATCCAAGCATCCATGGACTTTTATACATAAATATTGGACTATATCACATTATCAAATAAAAAGTTATAGTTATACACTTACTTGAATAATTTTTTCTGGTTAGTGTTTTTTTAGCGTGTTAGTTTTCTATGGAATGGGGTCGCTAACCCCATGCCCAATCTTCCTCCTTTATCCAGACTTGGGACCGGCGATAGCCCCAGAGGGGCTCCAGGTGGGGTTATACAAGAACAGGTCAAATGTGGTAGTGAATCTTTCAAGGTGTAGCTAATAATAATGATACGTACAGTAATAGTTATTGAGTCAAATGGAAGCCTACAATAAACGGAATAACGGCATTAAATAACTCCATTAGGTAAAGGTTACGCAACAAAAATGTAAATCATAATAGTTCATAAAGTAACTTAAAGAGTAGTCATTCCTTCAGTCTTCATCTTGTTATGTCAATTAAAATAAAAAAATACTAAAACTTAACAGAATTAACGAGGATAATAGCAGCAATGAAGGTGGACGACCTTTGAAAGACGCTGAAGTGATTTTGAGAGTTTCCACTTAATAACTAGGACTGAATATGGGTTATAAACCAATGTGAGGTATTAGGACTGTGATTTACAGTTGATGATTAAGGTAAGGAATTAGACTTTGGGTTTTCATCACGAACTAACATTAACTATAATGCCAAAACTCAATTTAGCCAAATAGATGAGTGAATTTCGAGCCGAAATCCGTGACCTGTTATCTTATACTTGATTGGTTCGTCCATAAATTATAGTCTCGCTCTAATCGAAACTATGGTGTATAAGATATGGTCGTAGTATATGCTACTTATATCGACAGATATAAATAGTATGTAACACCAATCAGAAGTGAAATGCATAGTAACAGAATGCTAATAATATTAAATTGAAGAAAACAGAGAAGCAATAAGAAAATTATTGTGAACTGGAAGAATCATTCAGAATATGAAGGATAATTGATGGAAACATGCTAATGAAGTATTCAAAGCATGGTTATCACATTTTACTGAAGAGCACTATAATATTATTTCGAAATACATGCGATTGTTCCCATATGACTTCTTGTTCACAATATAATATATACGACAAATGCTTGTTCTTTTACAAAGTGATCACACTAACTCAACTAGAAAATTGAATGGACGATCTTCAAACTATCAGAAATTACATTATTATCATTATTGTTATTATCGCCGTCGCCTTCAACGTCGTCGTTATCGTCATCGTCCAAATCATCATCAACATAATAGAAATAATAATTATTATTATAATAAATGATTATAAATTTCACAAACATTAATTTCATTCTCCTAATGTAAATTAAAATTTATGTTGATAATACTTTAGTTACGATCGACACAATAGTGGAACGACAAGAGCAGCAAACGGATGAGAATGCACCCGAAGAAAGAGGTAAGAAAGAAAGTAAAACAAAACCAAATCACAAAATAATGCACAAAAAAGACACAAAAAAAGAAAGAAATTCATAAAAAATGCTTTAAAAGGTTACAGATTAACACAAGGAAAATCGAATGAAATAATGAATAGTTTCCTAGGTCAATAAAACGTAAAAAAACCTACTTATATTCTAGAAGTTACACGCTGATCGGCGACGATCAATTAACAGACTTCAGTCTTAATTTGACAGTCACATTGTGTGTTCTTCATACTCTTACCGAAAGACTACTGTTTCAGACATCGAAGCAAGATGGTTCGCATCACACTTTGCGTCTCGTCCAACACTAGGCTCGATACACCAGACATTTGTGCACTGCTAACATGTCTGCAAATTATTCGACCAACGGTATTGTTCACTTCTCCCAACATCTCGATGCTTGCCGACTGCAATCGGAGCTCATTGTCACGTTGGAGCGCCTCCTCATCTTGAAGTGGTTGCATGCTGTTTGTGGACGACCAGTCCACAGATTCCAGTTGCAGTCAATCGAATGTGGTGGTATTTCGACTGACCGAGAGGACCTGTGTCCCATGTACACTGTGAATATGCATTGCATGTGGTGCTCAGTGTGCATCAGCAACATACGAGCCACCACATTCCTCGAGATTTATTGAAGCACTTGACAGAATGATCGATAGCACAGACATGTCAATCAGCTATGCCATACAGACATTCTTCAAATTGTTGACGGTTCTAATGAAATGAACAACAGTTGTGCAGTACATTCGGCATGTTCAGTTGTACACACTGCCATCACTAACAAAATGGCTTTGTGACCGCATTGTAACTCGATCTGAACGCAAACAAACATCTAGCCATTGCAACTGAACGTGTATGCTAAACACACAACTTCATACAATCATTCAATTGTAGTATCAGCAGCTGTAACACACAAGCACTATATTCCGTCAACTCACCTCGAGACAAGAACGACTAGGATTACGTGAGCACGCAGTAAACGGTAAGCCGTTGTCACGTAGGGCTCATCTGAGGCCATCTCATTGACAAGTGAGCATCACATACTCAATATCAACATCCAGTACTCACTACATCACAACTGACACAGTGCTGATGAACATGTTCTGTTCGGTTATTCCATAGTGAAACAGACACAGAGGGAAATTTTTACCACATGTGCACATTTTCAATTTCCTTCTGATTATTCTTCTCTCTAGTTACAGTAGAAAACGTGGAACATACCGATTCATCTGAACAACCAACAACTGAACTGCGAGCAGTGGACACAGACGGAAGTTTGTCATCACAAAATGTACTGCCCGAGGATGAAGGTGAGTCTCATCAATCTTTTCACCAATTCACTCACTACATTCACACTCACTCACATTCCGGTTCAACTGACTTCTGCACACTGACAACCGTATCGAATCACATGCATGTGTACCAAATTATTCGACCAGTTACTTCATTCCCATCTTCGCCAATTCGTCGTACTACTATGTCCATAATTGAGTGTTGAAGTCGTGCTACCGAGAAAAGGAGAGATTAAGAGTGGAATAATAGAACCAACGTAAACTGGTTGTCGACACAGTATAGTTTTTCGCCATAAAGCAAATTAGTGTATGTTTAACTAGCAATTAATGCACTAACTTATTACTGTCCCCAGACTCGAACTGTCGTGAAAAGTTCTAAAGACGAATAACATGAACTAAATGTAGTGTGAGGTGAATTGTAACACAGTGAAACAGGTTTGAACGAATATAAGAGATGCTGAAGTGTGAAGATGGATGTATGCATTTCACGTTCGTAAAAGTAACAAAGGAACACGGACAGTTCACACATACAAATAATATTATCGCTGAAGCTGATCCTATTCATTAATCCTTTCTATTATGGATCTGGAACGCCAAGTCCTCACTCTTAACCCAATAGTC